GAAAATTAACATTAAAGTTTAAAAAAATTTAACGAATTTTTTGTTATATATCGTTAGTAATCACTAACGATAATAATCGGCAGGGGGTTGTATATTGATTGTAATCTAGGGGATTACTATCGATATATAGCACTTTTTAAATTTTGCTGATGTAGTTAGTTTAGGCTGCAGATAAATTAGTCTGAGTTTTTTTTCTTGCTATCTTAGGATATAAAATTTAAATAGATTCTTTTCCCTGTAAAGATTTTCTTTTTACTGTAGAAGAATTAAATTAAATTTTAATAAAGTCAGAGACATGATCTCACCATTAATATTCAAAAAAAAAAAAAATTTCTGAAGTTCAAATTATATTTAATAAATTATATATATATATACATATATTCTATATATAAGTATATATATATAAGCTATACTAAGTTTAACAAATTTTTCTTTAAAACTTGCAATTTTAAATATTAGTAGTTTATAATTTTAATAGTTTAATAATATATATAGTCTAAACTTTTGGGTGCCTAAAGTTTTAAATTAAAATATTTGAATAAATAAAGATTAATTTTTAAGATTAAGATTCTAAATTACTTTATTATATGATATTATTGATATGCTACCAAAGCTTTTGTAGCTTTTAATACTAATTGCAAGCCTATAATATTTGTAAATATTAAGTTTTTTACTTAATATTTTTACTTTAAATACTAATTGCAAACCTATAAAATTTGTAATATAAATATAAATATTAAGTTTTTTACTTAATATTTTTACTTTATCTAATAGCAACTATTGAAAATAAAAATTCTTATAGTGAAAATAAAAATTTTTATGATCTAAAAATATATAAGAATATATTAAATCAAGAATAATTATATAATATTATGCTTTTTCTTCTGAATTAGAATTAAAAGAATATAATAAAACAGATAATATAATTTATTAAAATGTTCAAAACTATAAGAATTTTAGTAAACCAACAAATACATATGTAGAAAAAAAATAAAATAGACTTGCTTTAAAAGAATAGAGTTTAATAAATTTTTTATAAAAAGAATTCTGTAATATATTATATAATAATTTAGATATTTGAATTAAATGACAACTTGTATCATTTATATATAATGAATTACTAAAACAAAAATAAATAGTTTAAAATTTAAGTAATATTATAACTGTGATCAGTTTAATTATCAATATTGTTATGATACTCAACAAATTGTGTATCTAAAACTAATTAGAATTTTTTCATCTAGATTTAATCAAATTAAAATATATATCAAAGATTATAAAATTGCAAAATCTATTTATAGCAATATAGACCATTTTTTGATTTGCCAAAACATGTTATTATTAATGAATAAGTAAAGCAAAAGCTTAATAAGTATATTTAAAACTGATCGAATCATATTATTATTAATGAACAAGTAAGGCAAGAGCTTAATAAGTATATTCAAACTGACCAGATCATATTATTATTAATAAACAAGTAAAGCAAGAGCTTAATAAGTATATTTAAAACTGACCAGATCATATTATTATTAATGAACAAGTAAAGCAAGAGCTTAATAAGTATATTCAAAACTATACTACTTTTTATAGGCTTTCTTCAACAATTTGATATATGATATATGTAAAATAATACTATATCAATTATTTTACTTCTAATAAATATAATATATAATAGTATTTATAAAGAATATATTTCTACAATCAAATCTATTAAGAGTGAAAATTATAAAACTATGACTTATACTACATTTCTTAAAATATAGAAAAAATTACACCTAATATTCAATTTATAACAAAAGCATCTGATTTGTGTGATACATATGAGTAGCTTTATGCAAAAATTAGATATAGAAGTAATATTAAAAATAAAAACAAATTTTAGACTGAGTATAAACTTCATTAAGCAGCTGCAGCAATTGAATATCAATATTATAATAAAAATATTAATATTAATAAGCAACTAAAATTTCATATGATGCATATATATTATAATTGGGCTTAAAATGTAACAACTCCTTATTTACTATGACAACCTGGAGGTTTGTTTTTTAAATCTCCATTTAACATTCATATTTCTGAAGTTACAAATACTAGTTTAATACCCATGACTCAAAGGAATTATCTTATTGGCAAACATCAATTACTAATCAAAACACCTAAAGGTGCTAATACTACGTTGAGTTTTGTATATAATAGTTTACTTCATTGGAATTTATTTTAAAAACATCTAAAAATTACATGCGATAATTGCAGTGATCAAAATAAGAAAACCTTGTTCTTTGGTTTTATTCTTGGTTAACTATAATTAGGCACTTCAATACAGTTGAGCTTAACTTTATGGTACCAGGTCATAACAAGTTCATCTGTGATTCTTATTTTGGAGTAATTAAATCTCAATACCGAAAATGTAGTATTATGAGTATGGATCATGTCGAAGCTGCTGTTAACGAATCAAAACAGATGGAAGCAATGTAGCAGTTAAGTACGATAAACCAGGATGGAATTATTATGTTTTTGAAAAATTTTTAGAATCTTATTTTGTTAAATGCAATGGTATATGTCAATTTTGACATTTTTATTTTTATCATGACCAACCCGATAAGATTTATATGACTCTAGAATCTAACTGTCCAATAATAGAAGCAGTGATTCGCAATAGTGTTTATTTCAACCCGTACCAATCTTTAAATATTATTCCTATAAAGCCTTTATCTTTGAAATGTCAGATACAATTGTTTAAAGATATTAGGCCATATGTACATGATCCTTACAAGAATGAACTATGTTTTGCACCAAATTCGTGTGAAGAAAATTTATTACACAAAAGTATGAACGAAAGTATGGATGAAAGTATGGATAAAAGTATAAACGAAAGTATGAACAAAGTATAGATATATATGCGCATATTACACAAAAAACTTTATTGTAGTAACTTTTTTTTAAACTCTGAAAATATTGGGTTGCATATTTTTATTATAACAACTCAGGTTTAATAGGCGGGTGGGTGGGCGAAGCAGTTATATGAGCTAAAGTTAAATAGGTACTAAAATTAAGTAAAAATGTTTATTATATTTACTGGCCTTAATAATATATACGAAGACACAAAGTAATAGACATTCATGAACATTCATAGATATGAATGTAAGCGAACATGAATATTGACAAGCAAAAAAAACCTAAGAGCATAGCATGTAGATTAATGATATTAATATTTGTAAACGTCGATATGTATGTACTACATAACGGTACATATTACCCCTTTATTCTATTCTTTTTTAGATTAACAATAAGAATTCTAACTGCTGATCCAAAAATAAAATAGAAATGTCTTGATAAAAAATGCTGCGTACAAGATTATACTAATTCGTGCCAAAAAATTTAACTGTGAATAAATCACAATTTTATAAATATGATCTCAATTTTTGACCAAAAAATCTCTAAACCCCGTTTTGCTGTGTACTGACCCATATGATAATACCCTCTTACTATCAGTTACCATAATACCAATAAAAACCTGTATCTAACAATGCAGCAGTAATTACAAAAACCATTCTATAAAAGGTTAATATTAAAGCGACAAATCATTGAAAAACTGATCTCCAAAATTAGTGTCATGAGAAAAATGTGATCTGTACAAACGCATAATCCAATAAATAGGTTAGTCATGGCAAAAAAATGTCCAGAATACGTCATCGACGATCTCTTCCGGCCTCTTTGACGTAGCCCGATAAATCATATGTTACACGAAAATTCAAATTAATATTAATTTTCGTGTAACATATGATTTGTCAGGCTACGTCAAAGAGGCCGGAAGAGATCGTCAATGACGTATTCTGGACATTTTTTTACCATGACTAACCTATCTTAATCCAATCAACTTTAAGATTTTGGTTTCGTTTATTTGCCATTAAACCATACACTTACGTTCCTGGTATTGTCAATTTATGCCGACAAGGCTTGGTTACATAAAAAGTTTCATGCAGGCCTACTGAAAAATTAATTGCAATCAATTTTTGTAAACATACAATTAAAATCAATTAAAATTATTGAAACCCAATTAATGACAAAATAATTGCAATTAATTGCAATTAAATTTTCTGTGTAAAGCGCTGCCTGATGTAACTCGGTTTTTAAACAGCGAAAAATCAAAAATCGCATGTATTTATTATAATTAATAATATTAATAGCGAATATATGATATGAAATCCAATTACATAAAATTGCAATTAATTGACCAATTGTGACTACGCCACCAATCAATTAATTGAGTTCGAAAAATTGCAATTAATTGCCCCTAAAATCAATTATTCGGTAGGCCTGGTTTCATGACATGTATAGCACCTAGTTTCAATGAAATAATGACTGTAAATCTCTGCATAAGCCATTGACAAGTCATTGAAAAAATTGCACTATCCAATCTAGTCTATGTACTTACAAATCACAATTTCCTTTAAATTATTAGCTTTAATATCTAATATGTATCCGAATGCCCGATATCGATATTTAGATCCAGTGGCGTATCTATGGAAATTCCATCAGCCGATTATCTCGAAATAAAATAAAAAGCGCTAGAATCTATTTTACCTTATTCTTTCTTACATTTTTATTGAATAATAACGATGATGCATTTTATAAATGTTGTATTTATCAATCTCCCAACATCAATTGCTATGTTACTACTTTTATATATAATCAGATATTATTATAAATATTTTACTAGAGAGAATCCGCTTCCCGGTCCATTTCCTTGGGTGCCTTTTTTAGGAAATGCTCTAGATTTGTTTAGATATAAGTTAAATACTGCAGAGTACTTTAAAGAAATTCAATTGAAATATGGTGATTTTTATGAAATTCACCTTGGTTTTCAACGAATTCTCGTAATTTCAAATAGTGATGTGGCATATCCAATTCACTCCTCTTCAGTGGCTCATAATCAAAAATTCTTATATCGTGACATACCAAATTCTGGATGGAAGGATTTGGAAATGGAAGATTGCGGAATAGTTGCTAATAGAAATTTGGAAGGATGGAAAATCAATCGTGAATTCTTCATAAAAATGGCAATGTCAAAAAAATTTTTAAAAATGATTACCGAAAAAACATATGAAAAGGCTACAGATATGTTTAAATTATGGGATATAATGATAAGTGACAAACGAGATGTTGATTTGTCTAAATGGCTAGAAAAGTTTGCTGGAGATATAGCAGTCTCAACATCAACTGGACTATCTACTTACTCAATGATTTCTTATTTCAATTTACTGGGATATGAATATAATCTCGATGATATCCCAATTTCAGAACGAGAACAATCTTCGAAATTGATTTCTCTTATTAATTCATTTTTTACATCAGCACAATGTAATAATTTTATAAAGTATATCGTATATTGCAAATAATTCATATTTTTAAAATGCTTAATATTTTCTTTTTTAACTCAAGGGGTCACTTTAATTCCATCTTTTATAAGACGCGCTCCTGGCATAAGCTACTTTAACAACAAGGCTTTAAGCAGTACAAAGCAGTTGAAAGACTTTTTAGCAGAATTAATTCAAAGAAGACGCGCAGAAATCAATTTATTATCCAACTATGCTTTACTGCCGTCTGACTTTTTAACATTGCTCCTTACCGCAAACACGCCACGAGATCTAGAACATACTTCATATAAGTCATTAAACCGACCGTTAAATGATCATGAAATTTTTGGTGTTATTCGAGATATTTTCCTGGGTTCTTTTGAAACGGTAGTTAATTATTTTTAATATAATTTTGTAATAATACAATAAACATAATACGAATATTCATGATATTAATATTTAACTCATAATAGATTACAACTTCAATGTGCTCAGTATTTTATTATATATGCAAATATCCTTCTGTAAAATCTAAAGCACTTTCTGAGATCAATGAGATATTCGGACATTCA